CGTGCTGGAATTAGATAAGAAGGAGGCAGAGCGTGGCTGCGGTGGCGAAAAAGCGAGACGGCGAGTTCGGATACCGGCTGGGGACCCCGCGTATGGTTGATCGGCCCGGAAACCGTGTGGTAAACTGAATTAACCCACTGTTGACCCGCAACCGTGTGTTATCAATGACTTCGATTATGTCAGCGGAGCCGTTTGGCCGAGGCTGATTACGGAGCCGGTCCCGCAGGGCCCGAAAGAACCCCACCGGTCCGGCTTTCACAAATACGCCGGGATAGTTTGGAAGATTAACATCTCGAAACAAGCTACTCGAGCGGTTCTTCGGTTTTTCGATTCCAATGGATCGCAAACCGCGATGCGGAGCTATTGAAGGTGCATATCCATTGCTGTTGGCGCGCGTATTTCGACGAAAACGAAGTAACAGATGGCAAATAAGATTTGGTGATATCGAATATCGAAATGCAGCGGCGTTTCAAATTGTTCGAAATTCTGCGTGTTTGTACAAAATCTCGTTAGAAGCCCGGACTATCTATTTTTTTTTTACGTTTTCTGATTTCGCTTGTACGCCGCGTTTCTGTTCGCAGTTGCAAGCCACTGCAGTGGCTCGATTTATTGAACGCTTTCCTGTGCACCTGTCTACTGGGCATTATGATGTAAAAGAATTGTGGCGAGGTGAATTATTTTGATCGTATGATTTTATTGCGTAACTTCGAGTTGTTTGGAAGTTGATTATGCTGTTACAACGGTTTGACGAGAGAATGTCGTTCGCTAAACATTTTGGATAGAAGCGAACGAAAATAAGTTTAAAGATCCGTCAGGTTTGCATGTGGCTCGTAATATGGCGAGAAGTAGAATTGGTATGCGATGGCCAGACGCGTCACTTGATACCTATTCGATACTATTATTTCTTCAACCTATCTCTTCTAAAAATCGGGGCCTTAAATGAAAAAATTCTATCCTTTTCTCGACTTATTTTTGCATGTAGAATCATCCCCTGGCCGAATTAAATAACCCGGCATTTCATACCCCATTGTATAACATCACATTTTCCCCTATTTGTTTATGAAAATTCCACAATTTACAGATAGCTTCTCCATCGAGTCATGGAAGCGTTAGGAGAACGTACGAAAAAGAACTGTTCGGTCCTAAAGAAAGCATCTAGTTCGAAGATGAATACGTCTTCGTAACTACCCACCGAAACAAAAAGCCCGAGTTCGAGCCAATTTAATCAGTTAATCGAGGTCTTCCAGCCAGCGAACTTAAATATTTCTAGGTCAGTCAATATTGCCGCAATCGCTAAAGGCGTTTGTCAGTCGGCCTGGCTCTCGCCGCCAGAAACTAGGTTCGAGATAACCATACCCAGGTATGAATGGACGTTTGAACCGGAGGTGTTGGTATTTAACATAGGCGACGTGCAAATGCTGGAACGTGGAGGAGGGCAGGAGGGAGGCCCGGTTAGGTAGTCGTGGAAGGGTATTGAAAGCTAGTGAAACAGTCGCGTCACATGGACAGAGAAGATATAGGTGTTCGTTGATTGAGTGTAATCTGTTTTGTTAATTGCAAGGTCCGCAGAGTTCGATACCTGTGGTTGCGTGGCGCTGCGTTCAGCATTACAAGCCGAGACCCCGCCAGTTTCCGGACCCCATGGTCTCTCCTTCGGTGGTGGTGCGCGCGCGAGAGCTCGCAACAGCCCCGACCACATCCAAGTTCCCTTATGGGGTCATGGGGGGCAGGGGTGGGTTCGGTGACGGGATGGGTTCGAGGGTCGGTTAACCGACTAATTGCAGTACTGACGCGTCCGCACGGACTATTTGCGCAATTGCAATCATATCCACTGTCCTTGTGTCACCTATCACGGGCATAATAGGCGTGGCCGGAGTTGCCGCGAGGCACGCGCGCGCGTTAATTGACCGTCAAAAGCCAGAGTTCAGCGTTTTTCTGGCAGCCATATCATTTTTCAAAAGCCGCCGTGCCGTGGCAGCGTCGCGCGTCGACCGGCCGTTGCGTTGCTATTGTGTCGCCGGTTGTAGGGGTGACTCGTTGTTCTCTGCACGTTCACGTGTATGCTTACCACGTGTATGCGTTTGGCCCTGCGCTTTTTTTCTCTCCCACCCGGACGAGTTTCGCGTGGAAACGAAACCCGCGAATTTATACGTAGCCCGTTCACTTTGTTTCGCATTTGATTTCTGTAACTGTTGCGCGACTCTTTTTTCCCTTGTTTTTGTTTTTGCCTGATAATTAAGTTCGCGCCAACCTGTCGCGTGGACTATTAACGACGCGGCTGTGTTCCACGGTGTTTGCCGCCGCCTTTGTTTACTATTTTTCCGATTGCCCTTTATGATGCACATTTCAAAATACACATTTCCACGTCACAAACAAATGCACGGTTCACCGCGGAAATAAAAGATTAAATTAGTATTGACGGAGTATATTTCAATTTCGAATGGAGAACCAGAACACCAGGCGAAATATGATCAAAAGCTGACAGCTTGTTCATTATTTAAATCGAGGACATTAACTGCAAATTGAGACGGAATCTCTTTAATAAACGATACGATGAAAAACTTTTCGATTTTTAACCATTTTCTATTTCGGTAAATAGTCGATCAAGAGGGAAATTCATTTCGATATCATTCTCATTATTCGGTTTCGTATTATTTGGCTACCTTTTAAAACGCAGTAACTTTTTTAGAAGTGGACTAAACGACTTGAATTTCTTGTTAGATAATAGAAAGTAAACTTTGCTATTGCTTAGAATGACAAAAGAAAAGAAAAGACCCGATTCGAAGGCAATTCGAAGATCACATAACACGATTCGAAGGCAATTCAGAGGTCACATGCCACGACTCGACAGTCACACGTATTTAGTACAGTAATATTTCCGTAATTTGCACTCAGATCGCGCGCCAAAATGGACAATTTGAGAAGAGGAGATGCAATTATTCGATCCCTGAGACTCGTTTTTATAGTCACCGATTCCCAACAACTATAAAAAAAAGAGACACAAGGCTGGAATGATCGTATCTCCTCTTCTCAAATTCTTCATTTTTGTGCGCAATCTGAGCACGAATTAGGGACAAATTACTGTACCTTGTAACTCCGCGGTTTTTCTTACCTGATTCACGCCCAAACAGACCATTTTGTGTTGTCTTCCGGGAATTCGCGTCGCGTGTCGCATCACACGGTTGACTGACTCCGTCGACCTTTAGCATCGACGTAGCAATAAATTACATAGGCGTAGGTCTAGTACAGAGAAATTCACAGCGACCCGACATTTGGCATTACTGTATTTCGTATTATTTGTGTTCTTAACTTCACGCTATTTAATTCACCTGTATACCGCTAATTTTTTCAAATAGTAACCGCAAATCAATCGAAGCGAAAACAGGGAATGAAAACGCTAATCGATCAGAAAATGTCAGACATTTCCTTTTCCTGCAGAGGAATCGCGTATAAATGTGGAGGTGGTTAACCCGTAATTTAATAGTCTCTTGGGAGAATTAGCTTTAACGATTGCAGAAAATGAAACACACGATAAGAGTGTGTTCGACTATCTATCAGATCGTACGTATACCAAGTAGAATATTTGAACAAAGAAGATTCAATGGGCGCTCTTCGACGGTATAAAACAGGGTTAGTTGCGATTGTATGCAGGGCGAAGGAACAAAGAATTCCGATAACATTCATCAACATAGCCTTTAACGAAGAATAATGATCAGAAGAGTATTCAGTGGGTAGGTCCGATATTCAATATGGAGACCTGGATTCCTTTTCCAATTATATTTTCCAATTTATTGCTCATCTCAATCAGTATCCGTTTCCTTAATCGGTATCAAGACCGAGAGGAAAGAGAGAGAGAGAGATAGAGAGAGAGAGAGAGAGAAAGAGAGAGGGAGGGGGAGAAACTTTCTTTCCTTTCTCTACTATTTTTGTCAATACTACCAAGAAGTTTCGTTCGACCCAATTTTCCGGGCCGCTTTTTTCGCCGTTTCGTCTTCGAGATAATGCGAAAACAATTATCGTCGGTAACGAGAAAACTTCATGACACCTTCTAGAAACTCGATAATGTGAATAACTTTGCGTCGGCCGACCTAACGAATCTCAAAGGCGAGATACAGCTTTCAGATAGTTGCTTTTGTGCTGCTGTTTCATCGTGATTTAACGATCGCCGCGACTGAAACCAGGTTTCACTATGTATGTGTTCATTTATTTTTTTCATTCGAGGCGCGGACGTAGAAAAATCGTCTCGCGATTTGAAGGCTTTGTCGATGATAATGATCAACTTCAATTTAAAGTAACTATCCGCAGGAACATGATCATACGTTACTGAGACTACGAATAAAATGTAATTCTATTTATCAGAAGAGTCCATGTACTAGAATTATTATGTAAACGTATTTCTAAAAACTTATATAGATTGACATTAAATAAACGGGCACGCATTTCGATACAATTTGGCTTCGCATTTGGCGGACACATTTGGCTTCATTCTAGTTCACGAGATCGCCACTTGCGTGAAATGCTTGCGTAAACCACTTGCATGAGCCGCTTGCATAAAGGAACACTGCGCTAGACGAACAATGATTGAAATCATTGCATCGGAACTGTACTGCCGTCTGGAAACAACCAGACATGAATATTCGCAAATGTTTGGCCTCTAATAACCTCGCGCGTTATCCAGCAAACTGGCTAAAATCAACAGCTCCGAACTCGAATACCCTTAGAGCAATCATTTCAATCGATTCAATGATTAACCGAAACGGTCGCTGTGCTTCGCGAGAGTTCGCAGGACCAAACTGTGCTGTAAACCTAGCCAGATTTATACGCTGTAACATGCTGGTCACGGGAGTGACAATTCTAACACCGCGTGACAAGGCTGGACACGCCGGAAATGTCCACGGAAATCCATCTAATGACTGCGCGTCTCTTATCGATAAGCCGATTTAGCATCTGTCAAACGGCTCGGTCGAATGCCAGTCATATTAGAAAGTCAATGCACTCACCGGTCGTGTACATGGCGACGCCTTTCAGGGTCACCGGCTCGAGAATGGCAGGCTCGCTCCTCCCCTTCGCATTAATCGCGTAGAGAAAAAGTCGATAGCTTCTTCCCGTGGTCAGGCCCGCCACCTCGAACGTCGGCCCGTTCGGGCTCGCCGGCACCGTTTTGTTCAGCAGTATCGGCCCGCCGTCCTCGTCGGCGACCACTTCCAGCTGGTAGCTGAAAATCGGAAGACCGCCGTCGTATCCTTCCAGGCAACGAACCAATAGGCCGGTGCCCGATTTCGCACCGAGCTCCTCCGCATCCAAGGGCGCCGACATTTCCGTCACGGTGCAGTTGTGGAGAGCGTATGGCCGGCCCGCTGCTATTACCTGCGGAATCGAGCGTTTATGGTCAAACATCTCCTGTCGACGCTCTGCGTGGCTTCTTTTTTTTTATTGCTACGGCGCGCGGTATAACCGTTCGCGATTTTCACTTTACAGCTTAATGGCACGAGCTTGTTCGAATAACAAGGTCTGACGAGAGTTGGGTCCGGTTCGGATCGCAGGAAGTGAATTTTGGAAAACTGCGGTAGGGTGACCTGTCCACCGAATGAATACTTAATCCGGCCGTACACAGGTGAAGGTCCAGCGAACCCGTCATTAGGAAGCCTTATCTTCATGTAGTATTTATATCATATTAATGATGAAGGAGCCGAAGGTTAACGACCGGGAAATCCGCGAGCGCGTTAGAATTTCGGAGCGACCACCGAAATTGTAACAGTTGATCGGCGAACGTCAACACGATTACGGTGTGTTTTGTGAGCGTCACTGTTTAGTAATAAATAGAATAATTTCCAAAACCTACTAAATCTCTACGATTATATTATATTGTATAACTTTAATAAAGACACTCAAACTATATACAATAGATATCCATAAATTATTATCAATAGATGACACTCTTTACTGGGAGTCCACGAATATCCCACGTGGGTACTTTTGTTTCAGAAGTTTAGAAGTGCACAGCCGGGTCAACTATTCTGACCCAAACTCGGTACACGGTACTAACTATTATACTTCAATGTACGAAACTGTTTTAACAAATTGTTACAACAATTCGAACAGTTTTAACACTACACCTGCCGTTTCAACCGGCCCCGAACTAAAACTGATAGACAAGTGTTGCTTCATGAGAATGGCGAAACGGAATTCATTTTAAACTCTCCGACATTTTTACTGTAACGTGTCCTTGGACTAAGAAATTTGTTCGATCTTTTGCCATCATGGAATCGTCATAAGTACAATCATTTTGAACTAAATAATGTGAAACAGGTTATTTGGCTCGTACGGTGGATTTAGAGTTAACAATATTCTATGTAATTTGTAATTGTAATTAAAAGCCGTAACCATATTAAAAGCCAATAATAAAATAATAATAAATAATAAAATGATAATAAAAATAATAATAAATAATAAAATAATAATAATAATAATAAATAATAAAATAATAATAAAAATAATAATAAATAATAATAAATAATAAAATAATAATAAAAATAATAATAAATAATAAAATAATAATAAAAATAATAATAAATAATAA